ACATACACACACATACACACACACATACACACACACATACATATACACACACACACACACAAACACATATTATTATTTAACCAAAAAAAGCTCATAGATATTATGCACCCAGAGTTAAGTTTGTCTGAAAATTCCTCGAGAGTGCGAAACTTGGTGAATTCACGGCATTCTTATTAGTAGCAGACTTCACTATGTCGGACCAAGCGGTCGCCGTTTGTAGTATGGCTCATTGTATTACTGAACGTTGATTTCAAAAGAAAAACCCTTCTGAATAATCGGTCCCTAGCGAAATTGCGGCTGAAAGTTATCCACATAAGTGACATACTACAACTGTTTCATCTGTTGGATCTAAACCTCTCCTCTCGATCGTTGCTCTTTCTCATCTAATCCTGGCTCTATACAGACTACTCTCCTCACGTCTCCACCCTCTTGTGAATGACGATACTCCAGACACTACCGTCAATGGCAAAAATCAGCCATTCTAGCTGAGGACCGAATACTTCAGGCTACCAGAGATAATTTCAGTTATTTCAGGCAGTTTTTGTAATGTTGAAATGGGGGGGGGGGGAGTCATGAGTGAAAAAAGGGGAAACAATAGGAGAAACAATGTGCCCTCTTTACTTTTTCCCGAATGTTATTGTTATCTCCCTTGTAATTTGGAGTTGCGCAAAAAAAATTCTCTTTTATTTTTTTTAGACTATTGGCTGTTGGTATGTTCAGGCATATTTTATATTTAACATGGAACCTGAGCTTTTATTTCTAGCTTTGCCTTAACTTTTTGTTCCGTTTTTGGTCTTGTCTCAACAAACCGCTCAACGCATTTCAGTTTTCAGATGATGAAAACAGCTGGCTCCCTTAGTGCACCGTTTCCTTCCGGTTATTGTTCTTCTTTTCATGTTTTCCTTACAAGGAAGATTATTGTTTTGGACTTCGATGATAATGAAGCTTGTCTTCTTTCTTGTTCCTCTTCCTCTCAACTCTGCAGAGACTTTGTGTTCCTAGCTGTGTAAGTCATGCATCGGCTGAATATTTTGTTGTGGTTTGTTCCACATATCAGGCGAAGGTTTGCCCGAAATATATCAAGAGAGTTCGATTTTTGCTCTATTTCCTTGTTCTTTCCTCACTCTCACTTTTTTCCCCCTTCGGCTTCGTGCATCGTTTGCGATCAGACTCGGACTCCAGCTCTTTGCCGACTTTGCTTTCGACTTTTGATTAAATTTGTGCAGGTCGTTAATCTAGATCTAGATCTAGATATCTAGATCTAGATCTAGATCTAGATCTAGATGTAGTAGATTGATCTAGATCTTATATATTTCCATATTTATTTGTGAAAGAGAGCAATGAAATGGAGAAAGGTTTTTAAAGTGATTCCTAGTATCTGCATCCAATAAAATTTTGGGAGGACTTCCCTAACGAGCGACTTCCCTAACGAGCGACCACTAGTCACTAGATTCTAGATCTAATCTATCTAGATCTAGATTAGATCTATATCTAGATCTAGATCTAGATTCTAGATCTAGTATGACTATGACAGGTTGTGCGAATACCATGAAATTTTATTCGCCCAGGGTGTGTGAATACTGTGTGAATACTATGAAATTTTATTGGCACAGGGTGTGTGAATACTATGAAATGTTTCCTCTTATATCGCGTAGGGCCGTGCCGTAGGGTAGGGACAAAGACTTTAAAAACAAGATAGTTCACTCCTCACTTTGAGGCAATTAAAAAAGTGTCCTTAAAAATTTGGTGACGCCCTCTTCGAAAAAGTGCAGACTTTGCGAACAGAGTTATAAACCCTACTTGTGTGAAAAACAATAAAAGTGAAATTAACAGACCATCCTATTCTTCTTCTAGAGAAACGAAAGAGAGCTTCAATATTTTAAGACTGGCGCCATCTGAAGCAATTTGCGGACTTAGATGCGAACACTTTTCGGGCTGAGTAAACAATCTTGTTTTGTACTAGAAAGTGGCTATTCTCACCCGCCCGGAAGTTCTCGCAAGATGAACTCCTCCCCTCTTCTCTCTCTCTCTGTCTCTTTCTGAATACTGTCTATCGGTGTGGACGATCAAATTTACCAAAACAAAGTTAAAAAATGATGTTAAAACACAAAAGTAAATTAATTTGGTTGTCTACAAAGATGTTACGGCTATTTAACTTTTCGAATCGAGCCGAACTATGCGGGTCGCCATTTTGTTTTGCCCGGAAATTCTCGCGCTAGGCCCTAGACTCCTCTCTCTCTTTCTCTCTCTCTCTCTCCACTGCCCACAGACAAAATTGTACGCTTTTAGTAGGCTACAGTTGTAATGGAACGTTTGTTCACGGCACAGAATTCTACAATTTTTCTGTTATCACAGAGTAGAATTCTGTGGTTTAGGGTGAACGCAAAATTTGGTGAACGCGCACCGGGTGAGAATAGCCACAAGACTCGCCTGCACTATTCTCACTCCGGGTGAGAATAGAGGTGGCCTTTGTACTATCTTTCATAGGGATAGATCTAGATCTAATTTTAGTTTTGCAATGCGATACAAAAAACCCCCCTCAAATTAGAATTCAAGTTGTGTATTGTGTCAATGATAATGACTCAAATCTCTCTTTTTCCTTTTTTTTTTTTTCCTTGCGCCTTGAGAGAAAGAGAGAGAGATGAGTGCATGCCTTAACCCTAAAACTGAAACAAGTATATTTTACTAGTGTACAGTTGTTTTAACATATTAATTTTTAAAGCCTTTGCCAAAAGGTGGGATACCCGGGTGTGACAAACGAGGTCCAAAATCAACGTTGGCTCGACCCTTTGCAAATAGATATTCGCACACCTGGTGTGAATAATATTGATTCTTATGTGCACACCCGGTGTGAATAATCACTTTCTTTGACGGGCATGATGAACAAGGCAGTGAAGATTTAGTCTCTATTCAAAGAAATACGACCAAGGCCAAGGGTTGCTCAGAATGAGAAAGAAACATTACATGATGGAAGTTGCTGCCTTTACTAAGGTTTAAAGGGAAGATATTGACTTTTAAGTCAGTTGTAAAAGCAATATCTATTGGAGGCCAAACATGTTGTGCTCTCAAACTAACGACGAATTATGACAAGTTTTATGTGACATCACTTTTACTCTTTCAAGTTTATTTTATGATGTCACAAACAAAGGATGGTTTGTGCTCTGGCTAGCCTGGAGGAAACCAGAGACGAAGTTCATGAATGAAAGAAAACAGCCGTCTTACTTCTATTTATGTAAACTTGGAGAATCACCAAAGCAAAATCAGGAAAATATGCAGAGGTGTGTTTGCGGAGATCTCTATCTCCTTGCTCATCATATGTAATTTATTAATGGACAAATGAGAATTTAGAGTGCACGGGGAGACATTGTTTTTGATGACCCATATTTCAACCACCCAAATCGAGCTGTGAATGAGCAAACCGTTGATGTTATTATCTTGAACCATATTGCACAATATACATATATCGCAATATCCATAGAGAGAGGATTATTGTTTGAGTTGGTGCAAAATGTGTCTCGTAAATGCATGGAGAAAGTACTAAGAAAGTAGAGTGTGCCTGCTGGAAACCCCATTTACTAACCAAGATAATTTAGAGAGAGGGTGAAATGAGTCCACATAATTTCTCAACTTAATAGCCTGCTATGTCTCCTTAAATAAATGTCAACTGAAAAATGTTGTTGATGAATTGAGACGAAAGAACAATGTAGCTCCCAACAAAGCAAGGGATCCAAGTTTTTCCTCGTGCAGCCTACAGTCCTGATTTCGCTTCCTATGACATCTAATTTCTTATTCTGGAAGATGAATTTGCTGGATGAAAGTTTGAATGTATTTAGGCCTGAGCGACAGCTCTGTAAATTCAAAGCTGCCGAGTCTGCAAATCCGCTGTGCAATCCAGAAGTGGCTGAAGAGACTGAAATCCTAATATACAAAGTCGTTGGTATTATTTACCAGCACATCGTGTAGGGATGAGGGTTGGCCACGATATCAGAATTCGAATTTGTGCATCAGAACGCATTTATTTCTGGCTAACTTTGATATCATTTACCAACAGATGCATTCCTGTAGCTCAGTTTGAGCAAATGCATCTTACGGTACCTTTCACCAGGCACGCACACAAAGTATGATCTCAAATGCAGGATCTTAATGGAATGTAGTCCCTTAGAGAAGAATATGGGGTAGTTTTTGTGTTGTGAAAATTGTTTTCTTCTAATAGCAGGAAAGCAAACTGGGATTGTAATGGATGGGATCTTAGATGGAGACTTTGTATAAGTACACATGAATGTGTAAATTTTTAGTAATGGTCCTGATCTGCCTTTGCTCCACTCTGTCAATGTGTGCAAAATATCTGAATATTTTTCTTTTTGTTTCTTGTTGCTACATGTTATTATGCACTATGGCATCTGGTAAGATAGTTACTCAGAGTATACATCTTATTAAGGAGGGTCTTTGCCTGAAATATAAAATGTAAATTTCCTGTTTTAAAGTTTGATAAATCAGATAACTTTTTGGTGATTTGCTCAAGTGATGCTGCTTTAGCGGTTTACCCAAATTAACTTGGAAATAAATATATGTATGTGAACAGTTTCAACTATTTTAGTCCTTCATGAAGCATTATTCTATGTCACTTTGTATCTCCATTTTTCTGTGTATTTTCAGGTTCTCCGCACAGATCATGAGAAGCCAGTCTGTTGGTGGGAATATTATGTCTCCTGGAGAAAAGCAAATTTAATTTGACGAACACCTTTCCAGAATCAGTGCTTTTCTTTTTTTGAGCTTAAAACGTTAATGAAGATGTAATAGTGTATGGGATCAGCTAAATAATTTTTGTTGGCCCTGTCTCGGTCATGCAGGATGCCATTTGAAGATAGAGAGGGCCGTATGTGTGGCTTTTTGAACATTGAAGAGACAGAGAACACTGGGACATTTTGTCGAAGGTTTGTTTTATGTTTGTGCTGTTCATTATCATCAAAGGGCATCTTTCTTTGTTGCTCACACTGTTGTATTGACTGTCCTTAAGGATTACCTTTAAAGTCTTTATCATATGGTAAAGTTTTCTTCTTCTTTGTGCTGTTTTCTTAGGATTTTTTAAAATTTAAGTTAAAGCAACTTTTAGAGAAAAAAAATCATAAATTACACGTACATTCCTGAGCTTATGAATAGTCTGCCATGTGTGATGTGCTCCTTTTTTTCTGTCAAACATCTATCTTCCTTACATAATCTCTCCCTCCTCCTTCCTTTTTTTTCATATTACATTCAAGTAACACCTCTAATCTTCAGCTCTTTTTGTTGCAAGTACTGTAAATCTCTTACTAAAACAGGCAACCATGACAGTCTGAAATGAGTGTAGGAATGGAAATACCGTTAATTTTAACTGAGAATGTGCTACAAGGTAATTTCTGTCATACCCTTAGTCACCTTTGGTGTTGCTCAAAGCTTTCATTTCCAGACAAAAGTAGGATGAAACAAAAGTGAAAACTTTTTCATTTTGAAAATGAAATGCACTTCCCACCAAATATTGTGCTCAGCTTTTTCCTGCTCCTCTCCTATGTGAGGATGGTCAAAATTGCACAGGGTTTTGTCATTGTCATTGCTTCATGATCATACTTTTTATTATCTTTACAATGTGAGTCTGCCAGTCTGTGAAAAAAGAAATATAAAAATATGTCTCTCCCCACCTTAAAGTTTCTATTTGTTTAACTCTTTGGAAATGGTGGGCCAGTTCAGCTGGTGCACGGCATCACTTTGTTGTCAAAACAAAAATTTTCCAACCCCCAGAAAATCCATCCTATTTATAATGAAACTGCATGGTTCTTACAAGAACTTTCATTTCTTCTCGGTTTGGTGTTTATTTTATACCAATAGGTTAAGTAGGAGTGGAGTAATAGGTCAGTTCGTAATGCTGAAAATTTGGATGACAAAATTGGCTGTATACAAACATGAAATTTTCTTCCATATATGTACAAAGAGTTAACCCAACCCAGAAGAGCCACAACTTTATCCCTTCTAACAACGAATTTGCTGTTGTGTCAGCTGGGGTCAGATTCTGTTGTTAAAAAGAAATAAAAGCATAGCTGTCAGGGCTCGCTCTGAACTTCAGAGCCTGTGGATGTGCTAATGATAAAGGTCAAGAGTTCACACTGTCACTGTTCTGACATCCGTTGGTCATGTTTGAAAGGGCAAGTGACTTGGATAGAGCAGTGATGTATGATTTTTACATGTTTTCCAACTGTTTAATTTGATGCATATTTGGTGTATCACTTTAGTAAAAGCTTTCATTTTCCTATGGTTTTTAGTTGTTTTGTTGATTTTTTTTTTTTTCATCTTTGGCTGTAGAGAAGTTAGAGTTTATGATGATACTGATATGCCAGGTTGGAGGTAAACTTTATAACTTACAGTCCATGCTTTTTCGTAGACTGAGTATTAAAACATGTAAATATCCGTGTTTGATTTCTAATAAATAAAAATGAGTATTAAAGTTTGAATTAAGACTACTTATTTTCTGTTTACATGCACCAGTAAACACTGTATTCATCTGCACTTATTTTTGTTTCAGATATTTTGTTTTAGATCAAAATAATGGAAAGCTTGTGTACTTCATGGACAGCCCAGCTGTAAGTTTTCATGGACGTGACTTTATATTATAACACTCACAACAAATTGTCTACCAGTATTTATCGGAAATAAAGATAATTCCATCGTCCAATCAGTTAATCTTTCCTCGCCTGTGTGACTTTATGTATGTTTACATCATGCCTTCTTTCCTGGTTCCTTTTCTCGTTCTTTTGATCTTTATTCTCCCTTTTCTTTTTCTTCTTTTCTTCCTCCTTCTCCTCCTCTTCCTCCTTTTCTCAGTACCTTTATGTGATATTATATTGCCATTTCCTCTTGTTTAGTTTGCTTCGCTTTCTTTTTTAGTTGTTATTGGCTAAATATTTATACCATATTGTTACACTTCTGTTGTTTTGTTTAGCAGTGTTTTGGTTTTCTGTTAAAGTATTTTGATTTGGAATCTCCCCTTCAACTCTTTTGGACACTTGTGGTATCTTTTGCAATTTTTAAAAATTGTTTTGTTCATAAAGTGATCAGCATGTGAAGCTCTTTTCTAGTTTCATTGAATCTGATGTCAAATACAATGTTAAGCTTATTTTCTCAGAATTTATTTTAAAAAACACTTTTGGAATATGTAGTAACTGATTTGAACTTTCTTTGAAGTACAACATCTCTATTTTTTCTCAGAATCTGCCTGAGGCATGGAGAAGTCCAGTTGGAGAAATATTCATCCACAATATTTCAAAGGTAAGTCTTTTTTTTTCATTCCGTTTCTTCCTTTGATGTTTTGAGTTCACAACAGTAAATTTTGTAAGTGAGAATGTGTGTTGATCTGGGAGATGTGTGTGTCTGTGTGTGTTGTTAATTGGTCTCGCATTACAATTTACAGAATTTTCTCTCTGATTCGTCAGTTAAGTTGAGTGAAAATTCTGCATTTTACAGAGCTTAAAGCCCTCCAGTTATTGGACGCTATATAAATTCCCGTCATTATTACTATTACAGTAAAGCTCTAGCTGCTTTACAATATCTTCTGTGCATGCGTACAATCTGTAGAGTAACACTGACACATAAACAGACATTCCTACTATCACAGTACAAACGATGACGACATACACATCACTGTATCAAATTTCAACTTTGTTCTCTTTTGCACTTGTATCTGTCATTGCACCCACAGGTTAGTGATGGATCCCAGCAACGTCCCAAGGTCCAGTTCTGCTTCAGTAAGTCTGTATGCCATTGAGGTTGTTTGGGGATGTTTACTCTATCGTTGGTCTGATAAGAACTATCCTTAGCCTGATGCATTTTGTCTGCACTTTTTTTTTTGTGTGTTATCATTTGAGTTCCCCTCTTCTTTGTATTTATATGTCTGTATGCTTCTTGCTTACTGCTTACTTTTTTTTGGTTTGCTCCTTCTTTCCTATCAAACATCTATCGTCTTTATCTCTCCTCCTTTTTTGTGTATGTTACTTTCTTGTGACACATCTATTCTTCGGCTCTTATATGACCTTATTGTGTTGCAAGGGCCGTAAAACTCTTACTAAAACTAAACTTATTTTGTTTTATTTATCACGAGTTTATAATTATTCATTTCATGTAAGTTGTTGAAGACCTACAAAAGAAATGCTTCGTCTAGTCGGTATGGATATATTTTTACCTAGATTGTGTAAGGCTTACCACCTGTTATACTTTTAATACTGTTCTCTTTGCTCTTTTATTCAGGTGTTGTTGTTTTGTTTTTTTGTTTTTTTTAAAAATGTGTACTACAGTGATACAGCATTCAATTTTTTTGATTCAGTTCTTATCTGGCTTTACTGTTGTTTTCTGCGTATCATTTAGCTTTTGTGTGCTTTCGACAGATATGTAGAGATATGCTTAGATGACTATTTTTGTCTGCCACAAGTAATATTAATACCTTGTTCTTTTCCTCTAGCCATTACGGTGACGGGACGTACCTACTGCCTTCAAGCTGAGACTGAGGAAGGCAAGCAGAGCTGGACACAAGCAATTACAAACGCCAGTAAAATCACGGTATGTGTTCATTTTTACTCCCACATTTGACCGTGTGAATTTGAGTTGAAAGTCTTTTTTACACTTGGAAGTTTGGTCAGGATAGAACGTACCTACGTACCTTAAGAGGTGAATATGCGGTTGTTATTATTATTGTTTTAGTTTTCATTGTTTCTGCTGTTATATGCCTGGTGTACTCTGTCATGTGTATATTGGGCCATATCAGCTTTTTCGTCCATTTTGAGTGTGTCTGCTGTAGTGTAATGTCATCAATTTGTTGGTGTGTGTATATTGACCGTATCTGCTGTTATTCTAGGCATATTCTGTAAGGTGTATATTGGGCATAGTTACCGGTATGCTACACATATTTTATTAGGTTTACACTGGCCATAACTGAAGCTATATAATAACATTGTCTGCCATAAACTCAGGTTCATGGTCGGTGGTTGGTGGGTGCTGTGGTGTGGTTTGCTCCTTCTTTCCTATCCAAACATCTGTCATTTATGCCTGTCCTCTCTTCTTTTTTTTTGTTGTATGTAACATATAACATCTCTAATCTTCTGCATTTTTTGACCCAGTTGTGTTGCAAGTGCTGTAAAACTCTTCCTAAATCTAATCCAGGTTCCCGAGAAAGCTTCCCCTCATTCACAAGTAGAATGGCATGCAGGGGACATCACTCAAGGTGGTTACATCACTGAGATAGCTGGAGGAGTTGTCTGCAAGTTGCCCATCCAGGTAATAGTTTTATTTACATAATTTTCTCTTCTTAGTAGTTATTTTGTGCTTTGCACACACACACACAAACACACACACACACACACCCTTATTTTTATTTTCTGAATTAGAGAACAGTATATATCTGTATCTTACATTGTTATGTTTGTTCCAATTTTGAGTTAAACATTTTCGAGGAATGTCACATTGCTGAATAAATGTAATGAAGATATTGCACTTAAATGAATACATAATTTGTAGAACCACAGTTATTCTTAAGTTTATAGTTATTTTTTCTTTTAAAGTAGCTCCTGCTCCTTTCTGCACCACAAAGAAACCATTATGCATGTTTTAAAAAAAACTAATCGATGAAGAATAAATAAGAGGTCATCTCATTTGAATTTCAGTTTAGAAATTGTGTCAACCTCTAATAGGGTTAAAGTTCAATAAAAGAAAAGAAAATGGCTGACCTTGACTTCTTGACTTCCTCCCTCCATAGGCAGCGGAATCCGAAGGTGTGTCAGACGAGGAAGAGTCTCGGTCGTCCTCCTCCAGCACCCCTCCGTCCTCCTTCAGCCGCGGCTCGGTGCATGCGTACCGGGACTGGGACCCCCAGAGAGAGGCTGCGCGGCCTGGTGCTGATCAGAAACTGCAGCCCATCCGGGCTGGCTTCTGTGTTAAACAGGGGGGTGTGGTAAGTATAAGGATATTGGAACAGCTCGTAAATTTAATGTCTATTAATTTCGTTTGGATTGTGGATAAGTGTGCAGACTGTATACTTTCTGAAATGACACGAGTTAGAATCAGTCATTTTTTAAAAACTTCTTACCTTTAAGCCTCTGATTTTTTATTTCCCTATTGTCAGCTCTGACAAGTGTACTTACTTATGTTGAGTCAATTGACCAATGATAAACCATTAACGTTTTTCCATGATTATCTAGATGTAATAGAAAATGATTAATTAACTTTTTTGTGAAATAATTAACATATATCTCTCCAATATATGTAATGATAAATATAAAAGGAAATGAAATATTCATCATTCAAGGCTTGTTGTGAAGAAAAAGATGCTTTCAAGAACAAAAATCAAAGCAACAAAAATGCACATCAATACTTTATTTCTCGTTTTCCAGAGGAAGAACTGGTTAAGGAGATACTTCGCCCTCCATGAGCGAGGATTGTCATACTTCAAATCTGAACATGTAAGTTATTTCCTTTTTTTTTTTTTTTTTTTGGTAAGGGATCTTTCACATGCACAACTTGCACTTCCAAGATTTTTCGCCATTGTCCGAGAAGGCTAGGTATAGATCTTTCCTACCATGAGATCAGGGGTGTGGCTGAAAGACAGCAGTAAGATGGAGCCAAGGCATGGCAGTAGACAGGCTGCAGAAAGAGTCTGGAGCCAGAGGAAGGGGCAAAGGAGTTGATGGGGTGGGGGCAGAAAGTGGAGACAAAAGCAGACGACAGAACATTGTTACAAAGCAGGAAAGGATGTGAAAGGAGAAAATTTTGGAGAAGAAAATTTTCCATTGCTATCCGGATTTGAACCCGGGACCTATTGAATGAGAGGCGAACACCTTAACCTCTAGACCATGAGAGCCCCCTGAAAAAGTAGTTTCCAAAATAACATGTCTTTGGGTATCTCTGTCATGATTATACTGTTTTTACTGTTTTGCTGCATTGAAAATATCACTATTTGTTATGTCATAGGGTTTCTCTTATTTATTATCTGTGGGTCATTCATCCCATCTAATCATTTCAAGATTATGTATGACTGGGCTATCGTTCCTTTGATAAGTATTTAACCCTTTGACCCCTGAGGTTCCAGCCCTGATTCTTAAAGTTCCCCTGGGTTCATGGGCTTGAGCAGACGGTCAGCCTTTAGGTATTAGTTGATTGTGGATATATCAGGCATTTGGGGCACCCTGACCTATGGCCCAGGCTGAAATATCGGTCTCTCAGGTTCAAAGGCTGAACTGTATCCCCTAACCATGATATTGATTTCTCAAGGATGCCTTGTGGATGGTTGGCAGGTGCTCTGGTGTGGTTTGCTTCTTCTTTCCTATCAAACATCTATCGTCCTTATCTCCTCTTCTTTTTTTTCATGTTTTATACTCTCTTGTAACACCTCTAATCTTCTGGCGCTCATATGACCTTATGCAGTTGTGAGCGCCGTAAAACCTCTACTACAACTGAACTAACTAAACAAGGATGCCTTTTTTGTCTTTTAATAACATTTTATTGTCCTGATTTCTTCTTGATTTTTTTTTCCAAGGATAAGCTTTCTGTAACTAGTTAGTATGTGGGGATCTTATTTTTTTACATATGCTTTTGATCTTTCTGTGTATTTTGTTTTGTTCCAGGACAAGCAGCCATTGAGAACTATTGCTCTGGATGACATCACGCATGTACAGCAATCCACAGACGGGTAAGCCACACAGCACTTTGGCAACATCTTCTGTCTAAAGCTGTGCTTGCTAAACAGGGCTATAGCACTCACTAGTGGATCATTTGTGAGGCATCGCTTTTTTTACCACTGAAACCAAGTGAACTTAACCTTTTTCAATCACAAATATCTTCACTTCTGCTCATGACAGGTGGGTATTTTTATCATCAAAAGCAAGATAAATGAACAAGCTTTAAGATGGTACCAATAACTTTACATGCACAAAAAATGACGAGCGCCTGATTCCACTACATTGTGACACATTTGGTCATTTTGGTGGGGGATCACCTGTGTGGTGACGGGTGTTATTTTATGCCCTGCTCAGAATTAGAAATACATGAAGATGAGCAGAACAGAAATTTTAGCCTCTTAAAGGTGGCCAAAGTGGGCACTGCCTATGAAAAAGTTGACAAGCAGTCTGAAGTAATATACTTTTCTTTCATTCACAATGGATGGACTTATATTCAAGTTAATGTGATTTAAAAGAACCAGTTTTCCTCTATTTGAGTTTGCATGGTCTGGGGGAATGTCAGTCTTTGGTTTGTTGTTCTTTTGGTTTTATGTGCTTTTGATTTGAAATATGTGGACAGTTTTGATGCACTCCTTTATTGTCCTCAAAGCATGTTTCCCTTGAATAAGAAGTCCTTCTAGCCCACAAGGTGTGGTCGTATTTTTTTGTCTTAAACGCATTTAGACATTAGTAGGTTATGTGAAGTCTTCGTGACTTGTTTGTCCTTTGGTTAAATGATAAGCAAATTATATATACAAATGGAAAAGTGTTTGATATCATCAATTTTGATTTTGTTTTCAGATCTCATCCTGGCAGAGACAATCTTTTTGAAGTGATCACGACTAAACGCACATTTTATGTTCAGGTGAGGGAGGCAACTACTGCATATCAACATGTCTACTGGTCTTCCAACTGCGAAAGAGTGTATTGGGAAAGTGGATAGAGGGTGTATTTGAATTCCTACTTTCAGTTAATCAGTATGATCGTGTTTGACAGCAACCATTTTTTTTTTAATTGTTCAAGATTCATGTGTCAAGTTATGACTTTTTAGGAAAATTAGAGTTTTGACAAGTGCAGTAATATATGGAATGTTGTAGCACTCAGGGTCTCTCTTTGCAACTTAATATGGGTATTGATTTTCAACCACGTCACATTAATAAGCAACATGATTTGAGTAGGTCTTTTGCCCTGGCATTTTCTAACAGTTATCTGTTTTCCAGTTGTAACAGAAACTACAAATATTTCTTATTTCAGTCATATATGACTATGAGTTACATATGTAGCTTCAGGAAAACTTTTCTTATCATCACTGATTTGTATTTTCAACAGTCAAAAAGAAAATTCCCTCTCAAGGTGAATGTCAAAAAATGTCTAAATGAACGCATGTGAGGTGACTTATTTTTTCAAGTTTGTCGGTTAGACCAAAACACAAAACACCATCGATATGTTTCTGCAGTAAACCCACAGTGTGTTGAGACATTTTTGTGAAAAGTCACTAACAGAACATTATTTCTTTCAGTGCGACACGCCTGCAGATATGTTTGGCTGGATACACGCTTTGGAGCAGACACTGCAACAGAAATACACTTTCAGACACTCGCAGGTTAGTAAAACTGAATATGTACACACGGTTTAGTTATTAAGATAGACGTCTCAGTTCTTCTCGAGTGTGGTGGGAGGGTGCCACTGGTAGGTCGTACTTCTTTCCTTTCCCTTCTGTTGTTACCTTCTATTGGTCTTGCTTTTTCCCAGAACAATAGGAGGATTGTTACATCGATGGCTTCTCTTTCCTCAAACAAACAAACAAAAATTAATTGTGAGGCTGTGTGGTGGAATCAGGCTCTCGTCAATGTTTGGGCATGTAGAGTTATTGGTATCATCTTAAAGCTTGTTCACTTGCCTTTATTTGGATGAAAAAAATAGCCATTTATCTTTAATACAAGCCGAGATATTTGCAAAAGAAGGAGGTGGGGGTCAGTTGTTTTCAAAGGTAAAATTAGTGAGAAAATTACCGCCAAAGATTAGTTATTTCCTTAGCTTAAGAGTCCATGGTAAGTGAAGATTTACATTTTTTGTGCCTTTATTCAACGTTTTTCAGAAAAATCCACACAGAAATGAGTTCTTTAATGGGCATGAAAGATATTGAGCCAAAAAACAAAAATTTAATAAAAATTCGCAAACCTGCTGAAAAAAGCAAGTTTCTTTACTTTAATTATTTTGACGAGAGCCTGATTCCACCACGCTGCCTCACAATTGTTTCTAATCAATCTTTCCCTGTCCTGTGCTCCCCAAGAAAGGTCTCAAATAAATATGCAAGGACCAGCTGCTCTTTCCCTGTTTTGCCCCTGGCGTTTCTTTGGGTGACCTTTGCAGCACAACTCTGACCTGTGTGTTGTGTTTCTTCACATCTTTTCATGTGTGAGTGGTTCATAGATATTTGAGTAAAACTTCCTCCCTTTCTTTTCGATTTAATTAGTTGTTTTTTTTCTTTTTCCTTTTGAATGGGGGCCGTTACTCTGCTTACTACTTGTGTATTTTCACTCACCAATCTCTTCAGGTTTCTCAAGGACCAAGGGGCCAGCAGCCGGCGGGAAACAATGACAACTACCCAAACAAAGTTTGGCTGTGAACAAAACTTGGGAGGACCAAGATTGCACGGGGCCATCGCTTTCTGCACACGACGAAACTGAATAGGAAGATATTCAGAGATTGAAATAATCAAAACGATCGATTGAAGTTCACTGAGCTGTGACCAGATTGCTAATATGAGCTTGCCTATTTTAACAGACGCTGTGTGAACTTTGTGATTGTTGCCTGCTTTAACTTATATAACTCTGTGGTTTGATGATAGGTGAATGGCATAATAGCTTTTTGCTTCACCTATCCTGTGTGGCTGACATTTTTTAGTTCCTTTAATAGACTTACCTACCACTTTTTTCCCATCCCTTCTATTTTTTTCAGACTTGGCTCGTCTTTGTATCTGCTTTTATTTGACCTCCCCATTCCTTTCTCCCAAAATCTGACAGAGCCCATATGATTTTTATACTATTACCACAGGGATCAGTTTACTATATATAGCACACTGTTCAAATGTACTAAGCCCTGAAAACAACATTTTTAAGATGAGAGAAAAAAAAACTGTTTCATTCCTTTTAACAATTGCTCTTACATTATGCATTTTTTGTTGCTGTTTTTTTTTGGGGGGGGGTTTTCCTCCAGCATTTAGAACATGAATTTCAATAACTTTGTTTGAAGACGTGAGACATATACCACAGATGAGCAAATTGCATTGTTTAAACATTAAACATCTTGGGCTTAATACATTTGATCTGCTAGCGGGCGTTATGTTTTCTGCAGTGGAAAGACTCCTCTAATTAACAAGATCAAAAACAAGCCACAGCTTTATGTCAGCAACAGTTTGTAGAAGTCAGCATAACATAGTTGTTTCACTCTCTGTTTCCCATTAGTATTTGGTCTCCGTGACAAATCCTATCATTGTTTTCTTTTCAAGTTCTTTTATATTTTTGTAATGGCTATGGATGACAAGACTGCATGTTTATTTGTGAGTAAACCCTTCGCTGTCACCTCTTATATACATTTAAATCATTTTTTTTGTTCTTTGCTTTAGAAAGCTGTATGTGAGTCCATAGTTACTGATCCGTTCAAACGAAAGAAATCGCTCACTTTCTTATCAGCATTATGTTTCTGGCTCTCCATTTAATCTTCCTCTCAGGTGTGCTGTTTGCTCTATTGGTAAAAATATCTTCCAGTGTGGGCAGCATGGGTTTGAATCCTTCTTTTTTAAACCTGGGTTGTGTTTAGAGGTATATATCCTTTTCACAACCATACCAGCTTTATGATCTTTTCAATGCGCTCTCAGTCTCGGACAAGGCAGTTAACGGGCTAAGGCTCACTGTCTTGCCTCCTACATAACCTATATTTTGCTTAGAAGGACACAAGATCAAACGAAAAAACAACTCAGTCTCTACATTTCTTCTCAAGGGAGTCACTGCTATCAAAGCCGGGGCACTTTTGTTTTCTTGGAAAAATCTCTGTCCAGTTATCTTGGAACTTTAACACATCGAATGAATTGACTTTTATACTGTGTGATTTTTTAGCTTTAATGTGATGCAGTTCAATGCATTTTGAGATATTTTTTCCAACATTATTTATTTTTACTATGACTGTTCCTTGTAAAGATATTCAAGTCTGAATTTGTGTGTTTATATCCCTGAGTGTTTATGTTTACATACACATTTTTAAACTGTATTGAATATTGTATCAGTAAATTTTTACGGACACCCTTGATTGAAGGTGTTTAAATATTTTTACACTAAAGTAATTTTATACTGCAAAACCAAATATTTTGTAAAACCATTGTTCAGAGTTTATGAAGAAAGAGTAAAGAAAATCTATTTGGTTACTGTTGATACAGGAGTACATGTATACATTTATCCATGTAAGTCTTACTGATCAACAAGGGCCTGTTCCTGAAATGAAAACTGACAAATGTGTGCATGCCTGGAGAAAGGTACCACAAGATGTATTTGCTCGAACTGACAGGGCAATAGAGGTCAAAAATCGATTTCAAAAAAAAAAAATTGAAACCCAATTAAAAAATAATTCTTTAGCCATTTATCTACCAATATTTTCAAAGCTTTGTGTTTATTTTATGCTAAAAATGGAACTATGAAGATATTTTTTTTTAGGGAAAGTTATCTTATGAAATAACAAAGTTTGTGTGAGAACATTTGCTATCACATTTATTCATATCATAAAAACAAACCACATCACTCCGCATACCAAAGTTCGGGTCAGCCTGTGACCTTTCTCGAGCTGTCAGTTGTGCAGGAATGTATCAAAACAGTAAGGGGTGTCAAGTCTTGAGCATTTGTACCCAATATTCCGCTTCTTGAGCAAAGCCACAAAATCACTCTTCAAAATACAAGTGCGTTGTCACACTTCAAGAGCAAAGCAAAATCATTTTGGAAAATGTCTAGGTTTATTTGTGTACGAGTTTGCTTTTAAAAGCGGTTTAATGATAATTTAAAACTGTTTTGTAGTCTCAAACTGTTTTTTTAAAGTTGCACTGTGACTGTGAGTTGTAATTGTGTTGTCTAGGGTTTGGAAGACTAACAACATGGCTGGCTGATTGATTGATGTTCAATTATGATATTCATTTTGAGAAGACCTAGATCCAGATCTAGGGGAAACTTTAAAGGCATTTTTCTCAATCTAAACTTTGTTTCCGCACCCTACCTAACGATGTTAACCAAACTTCACAAAGTATAGGAACTGTCTGAAAGATTTAAAAAAACATGTTTTTCAGAAATAATTTTTTAAATCTGAAAGTGCAATGAAGTGCAATTCTTCAAAATGCGTCATACAGGACCTTTCACCAGGCACACACATACAGATGATGGTGGTAGGTTTTCTTTCCTCTGTTCAGCTTGAATTTATGCGACTTTATTTAACAGGATAGGATATTCAATGAAACGTGAATTTGATGTTTTATATTTCTCTTTTTTCTTACTTGACTCGACTATCTTTTAATCTTTGGTTTATTATTAGTATTGGTTTTATTTTTGATTTTGTTACTGTTTGTTTATATATTTTATTTTGTTATCAATATTATTAATATGCACCCTGTATCCCACTATGGATTCTTTATTACTTTTGAGTTCATGTTGGACCTCTCGTAGTGGACAGTTTCATCCTGAAAAGTTTTTTTTTTTGTTTGTAATACTTGTTTCTTTACTTTTTTTTTTCTAATGGGTTTATTTGTTGTGTCATGAAAATGCGTTGCTGGTTAACCCCTTTGTTGCCAGGGAGTGTGCGTTCCTACTGTTAGGACTAATTTTCAGCTAAGCTTGTTAACCAGGACAGTAGTCTCATTTCTCAATGTTTCTGGACTTGTCGTCTGAATCTAGCCCACTCATGACATTTATTGGGACGCCGTGTCTTCGATAGTGTCACTTTGCTTGCTTTCCTCATCCCCCTATAATCCCCATTTTACCCATAATTTAGTCAAACTTGCAAATCTGAGTCAAAAAGTAAAATATGCTTCCTTTTTTTAAAGTCAGTCTAGTGTTTAGGTTTTGCGAGAATACTCGTTCGACTGCAAAACTAGACTTGTGTTGGACTTTGTGCTGTTGAAGCTAGAGAGGTGAGCAGAGTAAGCCTGATTCCCTGTAAGGACTTCTCTGTTGACATTCACCCCTTGGCGCTCATATGACCTTATGCAATTGCGAGCGCCGTAAAACCTCTACTAAGACACACAAGACTTGTGTTTGTCAATAGTTTGCAAGTTTAGTGGTAACCTAATACTATAAAATTGGTACCGATAGTCGCGTTTTTAAATTCCCAAATACGAATCCACACTGTGCTTGTGGGTAAATCTCAGTATAGAAGAATTAGAGCCAGATGATAAGCAGGACATACATGCAATGTCAAGCTCACTCTTTATGACACCGAGATACGATCAATATTTCACCATTGTCATACCTTCGGACACTAATCCTAATCCTGTGCTATGATATGTTTGCAACATCATCATAGGTCTATACAAGGAGGAGAAATATATGTTTCATACACATGGAGGGGGGGGGGGTATGGTGTCGGCTGTTTTTGTGTGAAATTTAAAAGAAAATGATGTATTAATAGTAGGAAAATTGGAACCTCCCTGTGCATCTTCATTTTCATGCACACAAACGCATACATACATACAAACTTTTTTTTTCTTTAATCCACTCCCTTCATGTCCACTTGATTTGTTAATAAATATTGTGGCAGTTCTAGTCTTTGGAAGTTGAGGTTCTCATATTGTTTGCTTTGTTAACTCTTGTATTGTATTTTTACAATATCAGTTTTTAAAAATGATTTTCTTATTCATAACACCAATCTCAGAACCATTTGTACCACTGACATTTTTGCAATGTACAGAATTGTGTTGCATATTTAAGAGTGAACAGGTACTGACATCTGTGGTGTGTTGGTTAGGTGCTGCGCTGTTGCACGCAGGAGACCCGAGTTCAAATCACGTGTGAGGAAAATTTTTAGCATAGACAGTATATCCCTTCTTGTGTGGGTTTGCCGTGATAGGCAGGACCAAAGACCACATCTTAAATTATCTAAATTGTGTTGATGGGGGCGTTAAAGAACTACAATTCAAAAGATTGTTAAAAAATGAAGAATGAAGTGGATGTTAAAATATGTCTGAAAGAGTTAAGAATGCATGAGGAGTTGCCGGGTGGCACTTTTTTCTGGAACGTCTTGGACTAAACTGAACTTTATTTATACCCATTGTATCAATCTCTGATTCGAAAGATGTCCTTAAAAAAACATTTCCAACTTATTTGTGTTTTGAAATGTCAATTGTTCTGTTGTTTTGGTATTTTACTAATTTGCTAATTTTGTAAATTATGCATTTTGATAAGTTGACTTCTGAGACACTGAATGTAACACCATTTTGTATTAGATTACGTGGAGTCGGTGTGAACATTGTTGAGGAACTATTGTTTAAAAGTACTTAGGTTTACATTCAGTAAACAAGAGTGAAAGGGCATTTGGGGGAGAATCTCATTTTTTTTTCCAGGAATTAAATATTAAAATTTGATGGGGAAAATATCATGGTACAGTTGAAGCTGCCCAAAAACGATCGTCCACTGTCAAGCAACTGAAAGACTAATCGCTCTGAAACTTGATGGCTAGTCCTACTTTTTCTATTCTTAGTATTGATGCAAAGTAAAAGTGAGACAAAGTCCGTCCATAAATAAAGAACATTATCCTTGAGTGCCACACCCTCTTTTGTTTTATTATAAGGGGAGTACAGTAAACACCAACATTTAACCCAGTTATTGATCCAAATGGTCTTTGTAACTTTTTCTGACTTGTTAAGTACTGGCTCGTCAGAAAGGCTGTGAATGGAAAATGTAAAAATACATTAATGAACGAACAAGGGAAACTTGGATATGTCGTCACCTTTGCCAGACAAATGTGTCACTCTGTCAGAGCTGCCTTTTTTATTTTGTCAGAAGCAATGACATCTGACGACTTGTCAAGCGAGTGGGGTTGAATTCTAAATGGCCCCACCCAAAGAAAAGAATTATGCTGATCCTGCAGATTATCTGAGAAAACCACTAACAACAAAGATACACCCATATGTTGTCTTTTGAATAGATGTGAATGTTGAACGTTTTCTTTCTCATTATGAGATTATAATTTTTTATTTTTAAAATTTTGATCTGAATCGTGTTTTCTGTGTAGTCTGGACCTTGGCGATCAATTTTGCAAAAGTAATAGTTGGCATTCTTAGAAATGCGGGGTCAAAGGTGGATTATAATCCATTCTTAAGTATTTGAACACTTTATTGCAGTTCACATCAGAATTTTAGGCTTTTTACAGTATAAAGCTGTCTCTACACTTAATGAGTGATCTGTTCACTTGTTCTCACATCTTTGTTGAACATGGCTACTCACTGCTCCACGCAAAGGTTTTTTTTCTTAACTATAATAATTCATGTGCAGCCGTATTAATTTGATTCTTCACAATATTGCTTGTAGGTACAATAAACCCTAAATGTACTGTGTTAATGAAAAAGAGTAATTTATAAGCCAGACATTAATAAGGTACCTAAGATGCTTTTTTTTCTATAATGGTTAGGGTGCACATAATCATCTCTGAAAATTAGATTAAAATTGAACAAGTGGTTACTGAGAAATCAGTCTTTAAATGTGTAAAGCATTAAATGAACAGACTATAGGATGACAGCTATTGGTTACAATACTCACAAAATTAGTGTCCTTTTAGTTTTCAGTAAATTCTGAAAGACATTTTTCAAGAGTCACTGTTGAGCGACGTTGAGAGTCAGATGTACAATAAGTACCAGGTTTTTAAAAAAGTAGGCCAGAGAATCTGAAGTAGGTTGATTTATCCTTGGTGTGTTCTGAGACAGCTGTGTATTTTGTCCACTTGACCGATGGAATACTTTGTGACAGCTGTGTATTTTGTCCATTTGACCAATGGAATACTTTGTGACAGCTGTGTATTTTGTCCATTTGAAGAATGGACAGCCGTCCTCCCAGATGCAACATTTCTTTTCCACATTTCGAAAGTCTTTGTTTGTTGTTGTTGAAGTAAAAGGTCCCTAAATGTATGTGTATACCATTATCCATTGCTCAGCACAAAATTGTACAATAGAATGTCAGGAATATTATATCCCTTAGTATTGTTGTATAGTCTGCAGCTTTTCCCTTGCTCACTTTGCTTGTAAGCTCTGGAATGTAACTTTTGAACTTTTATTTTCTCTCTGTGACCTCTTTGCATAATTCTAGCAATTCTATAATAGTTTGAGATGCTCATGATCCGTGTTTGTCAGCGCAGCAAAGTGAAGATGTTTACGCGTAGTTACAGGACGAAAGTAGAATTGCTGCTCCCTTTTTCCCTTTCCTACCTCAGTTTTTTCCCCTTAGTTTTCCCAGTTTTACTTTGTCGCTTGTACTCTCACTTTTCTATGTTATTTTTATTATTCGTTTTCTGTATATTTTCACCATCTTGACAATTGCGTATGTTGTTTTTTTTAAGCTGATGGACATTTTCTTGTTATTCTGTATATTTTTGGTGGGGTGTTTTTTTAATTACGTTTTACGCATTGATTGATAATTATTTTGTCAACCTGGTGCAATGGTGGCCTCAGTCGTTAATCACAGATTGGAGTATGTCATTTGTGTGTCTTTTGCTGATCCGGGCCATAATATGTTAGTGTTTTAGCGCCTATAAATGGCTGCTTGCTCTGTATTTTTCCTAGGAAGTTGGGTTTGTTTTAGAATGCTCTCTGGTCTGCTGGGGTAATAGTATAGATTGTGAAGCACATAGAGCTTGCTGTTGAGGAGAGATTTGCGCTATGCAAATGCTTTCTATTATTTTTAATAGTTTCTGTTTTATAACTTAAGAAATTTGAGAGAGGAAGAGGAGGAGGAGGAGGAGGAAGAAGAGGAGGAGGAGGGAAGGGGAGTCAACACAATTGCCGGGGGGGGGGGGGGGGAAGGGGGGTGAGGGGGAGATTAGTATGGTTTTGTGATGGGATGGGGGATTGTAATGTATGGAATGCCATTATGAGTCAGTTTGACTTTGTCCGAAGTTTGATCTAGGCCAGTATTGTAGCATGTTGACAATTTGTTATTTGTCAAGTTACAGATTTTTTCTGTGTGACGTTACATTTTGTTTAGTCTCATATTTATGTAAATAGAAATTGATATTGGATGTTGTCATGAGTTGTATTTAGTTGGGGTTTTTTTTTAGGGGGGGTCAAATTATGAGTTGGATTGTGTAACTGGATGAAAAAATGTGAGTAGACCACTAATTTATTAAAGTGAACATGATTTTCTGTGTATGAAGTGACTCACACTTTAGTAGTATTTACTTAATCAAATTATAAACCTTTGCTTTGTGCTCTTTGATCATCAACTAGTATAGTAGACTATGCTTTAAAATCTGATCTCACGCTAAGTATTCTTTTTTTTCTTTTCTTTTCTCATTTTTTTTTTTCTCTTTTTTACCTGTACCACAAATCTGACTTACTTGGATCAACACACGCTTGTTTTCTTGTGAGTTGGGTTTTTTGGGGGGTTTTTTCCTTGATTATTTTTATGTCACTGTAACTCTGAAGTGTTCTTTGCGGAAAGTAGCCTTTGTCATGCTGACGTGCCACAAAGCACTCGGCAACCAACGCCTTCTTTTCAAGCTTTCTGTCGTATGTGGTTTTTGTTGAGATAAAGACAACTGCGTAACTGCATTTTTTAAGATGTAAGTTTTACTCTTTAGGTGGATTTTTTTTTAAATGGTGTTATTAGCTCACTGTTTTGGTGGCTGCCTGTCCTGACAATGTTGTGTGTGGGTGGTTGGGGGTGCTCTGGTGTGATTTGCTTCTTCTTTCCTTTCAAACATCTATTGTCTTTATCTCCCCTCTTTCTTTTTTGTGTTTGTTACTCTCTTGTAACACTTCTAATCTTCGGCACTTATATGACCTTATTGTGTTGCAAGTGCCGTAAAACTCTTACTAAAACTTAAACAATATTGTGTTGATGTGTTTCTCTTTACTCAAACAAAGAAAAACAAACGAAACTTGTCCTGAAGATGTTTGACTGAAAGACGTACATGTAAAGTCTTTGTGTGAAAATGTTTATAAGAAATGTATGATTATCAAGAGGATGTACTTATAAGAGTGTATCGTGATCTGTTTTGGGTTTTTTAAAATCTTCTTTCTTAAACTGGCTTGAGGTGTTCAAAATTATTATTACGTTCGTAATTGTCACTTAATTATTATTAATATCAGTTTTTATTCTATTATTAATTGTTATTAGTGCAATTATTGCAGTTGTTATTATTATATGGAAAATGAAATATCTGGTGATTAGATATTTTATTTTTTTTAAATATTTATATTCATTGTTCTTGATGATAATTTTCTTCACCAAGTATACCACAACTTAATATTGACTCTCACTTTATTCTAGCTGGCCATGCCTTTAGAATGGATCCATATGATCAAAAAGTTGATTTGGGATGTTCATGGTTTTGATAAACAAATTCTTCAGCTGTGTTCTTACTACACCATCTAAGGTGCGGGGATTTCTCAGCTGTGCAAATTATGGGACGGTTAGGCGAGTCTCTTTGGTCAGCTAAGGATATTATAATGCAGGAGATTGACTGTCAGCTCAACTGTGGCGAACTCTAACTTTCTGTCTTACCAATAAGTTGGAGATTGTCACTTCTCTTCCCCCCCCCTTTCCTTTTATAGAC